AAACTTCAATCTTAGACAATGTTTGTACCCTCTGTGCAGAAATTAATGCTAAAAGGGTCACTAATTTATAAGTTAATTCTTCTAGGGATAATTTATTCAATGGGTATAAACCAGCTAGGAATTTTAGAACTTGTGTGGGATCCCATGTGGCAGAATATTTGGAAAAAACCGGTTTTTTCCTGAAAACCCCTTTCAAAAAACGATTAATTATTTGTTCGTCATCTATATGCAAAATTAACTTAAGAGCAGAACGATGAGTATTCAAGGTATTATAGCTAGCACCATTCTCAAACTGATCCTGTAGAAATTTTAGTACCTCCCAAGATGAATTATTATGGCAACTAAAATTATTTGACTTACAGAATTTCCACCATTTTTTAAATGAACTATTGTACTGTTTGATGGAACTAGAACTTAACGAACTTATTAAAGTAGGTATAATAGATTGTGGAACTCCTTTTCTTAAATACGACTCCCTGATAAGCGAGCAGCAACCAGGGTAATCTTGTGCCATATTGGATAAGCTTCCCTAAAAGGACTTAATATTAAATCATGTTTGGCATGAAAATAAATGGGTTCACTACAAGTCAACCTGGTGAATATTGGGTACCATGGTTGCGTACGCCAATCAGGTACAACCAAAATGCCTTTCGCCTTATCGGCTATAATTTTATGGAGTGTTCTTAATATTATTGGAAAAGGAGGAAAGGCGTAAAACGACAAATTTGGCCAAGCTATCGTAAAAGCATCAACATGTAAAGCATTAGGGTCTTTCTTCCAAGATACATAATTTTTACACTTGGCATTAAATTGAGACGCAAATAAATCAATGGATGGTTGTCCGAGAGTTTTTGTTATGGTGCTAAACACTCTATCATTTAAAGAATATTCAGTTTCTATATCAATACAACGTGATTCTGCATCAGCCTGAAAATTATTTTGTGAACTAATATAAGATGCATAAATCCAAATGTTTCGTAATTCATACCACTGCCAGATATTTTTAGTGATCTTATGTAGCTTAGGATATTTAACACCTCCCATTCTATTTATATAACTAATAGCAGTTGTATTGTCTATTCGTAATAAAATATTACAAAAGGATTCATATTTTGCGAAACATTTTAAAGCATTAAAACTTGCCAATAACTCTAAGTAATTTATATGTAGTAATTGTTCTTCATCTGTCCAGAACCCATGAGTTTTTTCCCCGTTACATATAGCGCCCCATCCTGAAGTAGAAGAATCTGAATATAATTCCATTTTAAATTTTTTATCTTCTAGACTTCTACTAGCAGAAGGAATGTTTTTTATCCACCAAAAAATATCTTCTTTAATTTTTTCATTAATAATAATAGTTGCCTCGTAATTTCCTAAGTTATTTTTTAACCCTAAATATTTTTCTCTTTCTAATTGTTTAGTGTACAACCATCCATAATTTACTGCTGGGCACAAAGAAACTAAATAACCTAAAATCTTAGCTAGTTCTCTGACTGTACACAGTTTTTTACTTAATAACCTCTGAGTCTTTAGGATTGCTGATGTTTGCTTCTCACTAGGTAATTGAATGCGCATTAGCTGACTATTAAAATTAAATCCCAAGAACTTACATATATGTCTGGGTATGAGTACACTTTTTCAAAATTAATTAAAAACCCCAATTTAATTAGAACGTCCTTAACCGTATTTACGCTTTCCGAACATTCAGCAATTGTTTTTCCTATTATTAATAAATCATCTAGGTAACACAACAATAAAATTCCTTGGTTTCTTAAAAAACCTAATACAGGCTTCAATAATTTCGTGAATACAAATGGAGCTGTACTTAGACCAAAAGGCATACATGTAAATTCATAAAACGACCCTTGAAAGATAAATCTTAGATACTTTCTATCATTTTTCCTAATCGGTATCAAAAAATAAGCATCTTTTAAATCTAGAGTGCACATGTAACAACCTGGAAAAATGAGAGATTTTACAGATTTTATGTTTTCCATTTTAAAATGAAACGTTTCCAAAAAAGTATTGAATTTTTTTAAATTTAAAACAAAACGATAATCACCATTAGGTTTAGGAACTAAAAAATAAGGTGAAATAAATTGGTGTTTACTATATGAGCATTTTACAATTGCTCCTATTTTATTTAATTTTCTTATACTTTCTTCTAATCTGAGTTTTTCTAAAGGAGTAATTTTCTTTAGAATTTTAAAATTTTTTTGTTTAGGTTTTTTCACTAAAGGTATAGTATAACCATTAACCCAACCTAAGACTCTATAGTCATTACATATTTTTTGCCAGTTAGAATAGAACAAGCTTATTTTCCAGCATAAACACTAAATACCTGAGTTATATTCGTTTGTTCTGTATCCTCTGGTACTGTGTCCTCCGTGTCCCTGGATTGTACCTGTATTCCGGCTGTTTTCGCTTGTACCTGTACTCTGTGCTCTCTCTGATTTTGTGTTTTTGATAAGGGCGCTTCGAGTTTAAAAAATTCGACGAATTACATTTTGAATTCTTAATCCTCGAGGGAGTCTTTGCCTTGTAGTTCTTTAGAGCATGTTGTGCTGTCTGAGCTGATTTACATTTTTCATTGAAGTCTAAACCAAACAAAAAACTATCCGGCACCGATTCCTCAGCAATTTTCCTTACAGTTTCGTTCATAGCTGGCAAAATTTCATATCTTCTATGACGAGAAACTAGAAAATGAGATTCGCAAAATAATTTCGCGGAGTCAACAATTGCGGGCAAAATATCGTTTTCTAGATTAATATCTGAATTCTGATGTTTTAATATAACGTCTAGCGCAAAACCTAAGGCGCTTAACCCTTTCCCCATTTTATTTTGCACTGCAGATAGAAAATTATCTTTACGCAAATCTGTCGAAGAATATAATCCTAAAATTTCATTATTTACTTTGGGAGCACAAAGAAGAGGGCAGTTTTCAGGAATATTCTTAATTCCTTCTCCAACCCTTTACTCAAATAAGCTGACCATCTAGATACAATATCATTACTTATCGTATCTCCAAAAACTGTATTAATCGGTTCTTCCCCTAACAATTGCGATATTCCCTCCGCCTTTTTTGACTGATGAACATCAGCGGTAACAATAACTGGATTTTGTGTATATTCTTCGTCACTAGAATTACTAGACAAGCAACGAACGGATTGTTTTTGATTTCTGGTTAATTCCGGATTAGAATTATTGGAATCGGCATCATCAGATTTACCTGGAATCAAAATTATCCATGATGTGTGTCGGAAACCCAATATACACAAACTAACTAAGAGATTTGTTTATAATGAGGTAAA